CTTCACTATTGGTAACTGCTTCAGTTTTCGATCATTTGCCTCCTTGAATAAAATCTAAAACTGGAATTTATTTAAAAATTACAAATAAAATAGGGATCAAATACGCCACAAATCACAAAATCTCGTAAAATTATTTTTTGCTCTTCAATAAATTCTATCCCCGTATAACGCCGCTATGATTCAGGCGCTATATGGGTATAGAATTTATGGTAGAGCAACTGGCAGAAATAATTTTACAATATTTTATTATTGCTGATTTGTGGAGTATTTGATCCCTTTTGATTTTAATTGCAATTTAAAAAACACAAAACTAAAATGTATTTAACAAAAAACAGAAATCAGTTCTACTTACGGATGCTCTGCCAAACTTTCATATCCACCAAGACTTTCGGCCAGAGCAAAGACCTACCAAAACATATTTGATTAGATATATGAACAAAATAATGTAACATCTATTACATACAAAATGCTCAAAGTGCTTAATACAGATTTTTTGGGGTAGGGCAATTATCCTAAATAACAACACACACTGCAGAGGACCTCCTCCCACCTTCTCAGTTCTATGCATCTAAAGGGCTTTTGTACACAGGCATCAAACACAGGTCAGCAGATTCCCATTTACCTCAATAGTACAAAAGTGAATAGTCGCTCTGTGGCTGCCTTTGACTTGTGAATTTGGGTTGATCTGCACGCAGCAAGTCTTATTTGAGATGCATTAGAACTGCATGACAAAGCAGGTTAAATGCAGCTTTTAACTTTCCAATGCATGCTGGACCAGCAGTGCATTTGAATGCAAAAGCCAGTGTTTGACAGCAACACACGAGTACACAAGCCAAGAGGAACCAACAGTCATCTCCTCACCACGGCCATAGGCCTTGTACACATGGGCCTTCAGCTTGTATAAGAAAAAGCAAGCACAGCAAGCTTTTACAAAAGCATTTGCAGCGCTTTCAGCAAGCTTTATTGAAGAATTCTTCAATTATTTTTTTTGCGCTAGGCACAGGATTGGGGACGGTGTGCATCACCACGTTTCTCATACACATGGTAGGGGGGCTTCTGGGTTGAGGACAGGATGCTGCAATATGTAGTTCTATAGCTTCAGAATGCAAGTCAATAACATATTCACACACATTCTCTGGCTTGTGCATTACTCCAGCCTTCATAGCTGCTGTGCAGCGATCAGAGCCATAAATCAAAATATTCACCTTCACACTCTTGAGGAATATCTTGGCATGTTCCAAGTTGCCTTTAATATAGAATGTGATCATACCAGGTACACCGGTGCACTGACGCTTGGTGATCTCGTATTGTGGGTGTGATGGCAGTCCTTTAAAATTTTAAGAAGGGTTATAATGATATAATTTAATAATGATATAATAAAATATAAATTTTATAATGAAGATCAATTACAAAATGACACAGCAAATAATAAAAATACACCATATTCTTAGTATCTGCCACCATACTTGTAGAAGCCAATAAAAAAAGAACTTCATTCTGAAGAGTATTAGACCGAAAAAGACTACACAATCAAGAAAAAGGGCTTTTCCCAAAAGCAAGAGTCAATAGATGGTCTTAGGATTTGTTTATAATATACATTTCCTAAAATAAATATGTGTCTGCCTGCAATTTTATTTTTGTACGTTGGTCGCACATTTTAAAACGTGTGTCTTTCCACATTCTTTCGTTTGGCCAATGAAAGCTAAATAAAAATAGCGTTTGCTAGGGGGTGGGGGGGCTTGTTGCCAAGTGTTAAAATGAACTGCACAAGCTTTGTCTGCTGCCATCGAAGTCTATGGGACCAAAAACATACTGTTTTCTTTCCCAACGCGCAGCAGCATGATGCAAATGGTCCCATAGAAAAGAATGGCAATGCTTTTATTGTGCACTAAGCTGTAAAGTGGTACAGGTGTAAAGGGGGCCCTACTAGCTTGAATACCTCAGTATATGACTTGAAGCAGGGAAGATGTATTATATCCGTCACACAACCTACAGGCTTGCCCACAGTTGATGGCAGGTGCTCTAGTGAACTGTTGGATGACCAACCATACAATCAGGAAAATAAGGACCTCCACCAGCACACCATGGTATAGTAATAATTATGTCCAAGGACTTAGCATTATCACTGTGCCAAGACTTGCGATGCCAATATTATCACTAGACCAATGTGTGCTGGTGAAGATTCTTATTTTTCTATGACTCCCAAAACAGGCATACGGGTCAAGAAAGTCAAAGTCCTTATCTGCATACAAATATAACGCGAACAGGTCCAAGTGGATCTTGGCTCTCATGTTCATCCACTATGACTGGCATCATAGGTCATTACGATGCACCTGCTTGTGTCCTAGCGACCAATGATGCTGTGCGGCCCAGCCACCAATGACTGCAGGCCTGACACCATCATTGCTGGGTAGGACACAGGTGGAGGTTCAGCAACTGGGTGAACTGACCAGATAATTTACCCATTTGATGAACAGCTTGGGTTCTGGTCAGCTCATGGTCAACCCAAACCTCATCCCTAGAAATTACTATTTTCTCTCTATCCTTTGTTCTACCTCATTGTTGATGCTCTCCTTTGGCCTCTTTCAGCTACTTGCCATGCACTCACTCCAACATTGGCTGCACATCTTTGTTCTGGACCGTGTCTCCCGTGTGTATTGGCACAGCCACTCCACTCCTACTTCTCTTCAGTGGACCCCCAGCCAAGTTCTCCATTCCACACATTATGGTGTCTCACTCCAATAACTACAACAGCCATGTTCGTGGGCTCCACTAGTGAGACATCCCCAGCCAAGTTCCCCACTCCATGCATTATGGAATCTCATTCCACCAGCTACAACTGCCATGTTCCTAGGCTATCCCATGGTGATATATGCTCAGCCAAGTTGCCCACGCCATGCATTATGGACTATCACACAACCAGCTACAACAGCCATGTCCCTATGCTCCCTGTTGCCTTCTCCAAATATGAAAATCCAGCATGGAGAGTAGGGCCCCCTTATAAAAACCACAGCAGCTATGCAGGCCAATGACCAAATCCCAGTCACTTTCTAGCTTGGCTTCCTACCTGGGAATATGATTTTGTCAACACGAGGGTCTTTCTCCAGAAACATGGCTACAGCCAGCCCGTTGTGGAAATGCTGCCTCATTCGCAAATGTAATGTCTTCAGGCCACGGTTACAGAGGTAGCAATCAAACGGGGACGGAATGGCGCCAAGTGCTGAAACAAACAGATGTTGTTCATCAGTCCATCACATAAATATATGTCTCATGTACAGTGGGAGGTCATGTGTAGCCTGGACACGAGGAAAAATATCATGGTAATAGGATATCTCCTTCTCCCAAACCCATTAAACACTGAAGGAATTGACTCTATTAATATCATTATCCGGTTTATCTATTCATACAGTAGAATCCTAGACGCTCTGTAGACCCCAGCCTCCAACTCTGCTTCCTGAATAGCAAAATGGTTTAGAAATTAAATTGTGTAAATTATTTCTAAATGTTTTTTTCAGGCTGCCTCTAGTTCAGCGACAGCTTGCAAAGCTCTGATACAGAGTTATTACTGGGGATGAGAAAGATTTTCATTCTAGATCACGGGTGGGCAGCTCCGGCCCTCCAGCTGTTCTGGAACTAAAAGAGGTATTGCAAGACTCTGGACAGCCACAGGAATGACTCCCAGAGGCAGTGGCATGTTGGGATTTGTAATTAAAGAAAATTGCCCACCCCTGCTCTATATAGACACATAATTAAGACGTGGTTGGGGGCAGGTTATATTCTACTTTATGCTACTTAAGCGGAGCCAAGGTAAGAATTGATGACTTAGACCACGACATTGTAGTAAAATAGTTGCACAGTCTCACCGCTCCTGTTTAGCATTGCCTTGCTGATACATTTTGTAGATGTCCCAGGTAGAAGAGAAGTCACCAGCATGCCATATGTGTAAAATAATCAAATGATTTATTCACATACAACAGAAAGTCCAACGTTTCCAGGAGCCACGCAAGGCCCTTCCTCAGTGTGATATGGTGACGTTGATCGATCACTATATCACCCCGAGGATCACCAATCACAGTCACCATATTTACCTCGAGGATCACCAAATGTGTTAGGGCTACAGAATACTCCCTACTTTCCATTAGAAAGGCGGAAGGTGTTTTCTAGTTCTAATACTTCCTAACAGCACTGCAGAGTGCACATGACAGCACTGGATTTTGGCAGGACCAACCAATATTTTTTTTTTGCACCTTTTGACCAGTTAACTGTTGAACTTAACAAAATACTTAAAACAAAGTGCTTTAAGAGACTATAGTAGAGCAAATAAGAGAAGTTCATGATTTATTCAGTTACATGGACATAAATCGGCACATCTTCAAATCTGCTCTCAGATACCCCACCCCTTGGCACAGGTGCCCATATACCAACTCACCATTCTGGAGGAATTTTAGTTTCTCGTAGAGCTTGTCACAATTTACAGAAATCAAGCCCATGACAACATCACTATGACCTAAGGGAAAAAACAAAACAAAAAACAAGACGCATATCTTTATATATTTACATTGAACCATATTCTACAAATGCATGCTTTTAGCAGAATGAGGGGGACTAAGTTTGTTCCCCATTGTCCCTGTTGTAATGTAGACACCGCTCCAAGCTCACTACCGGGATGGACTACAATCTAAGTGCAAATTAGTAAACTAAAACATGATTGTAGTCCATCTTTACAGGATACTGCACAGCACTGGATGCCTGTCTAAAGGCTCTGTTTGGTTTACAAAAACTTCAGACTGAGCTATCTAATAAGAGGAGTCATCCACTTGTGCAAATTCTAGTTTGAGCAACAGAGCTAGAGATATATTACACACACACACTATATAAATAAAGGAGCATTACATTTTTTCCTTTACTGGACCCTAAAAAAGTGTGCACACAGCCTGTGAGTAAAGTAGCACGTAGAGGGCATATAACCCCAAGATTATGGCTTTTTTCTGGAGTTCTGATTTAATAAAGGATCATTTCCAATTTCTACATCATTCTAAAGCCTTGGTTCTCAACTGGTATTCAGCCCCGTATTCAGTTTGTCGCCCCATGCCTTCCACTTTTCTAGAGAAGCTCCTCTGCCTCCCCCTAGCGCAGCACTGTCAGTTCCCACACCAAGCAGCCATTCAAAATATATGTAGCCCGGTGCCTAATGTCAGCTTGATGTGGGTTGGAGCTATGGCCAGGAGCATTGCTTAGCGCTCCCTCATGTGTCCTAAAGAGGTGCCTGGACCAGAGTGACATCACATTCTGGCTCCCGGCACCTCTACAGGGCATGCAAGGGAGCTGTACAAGCAATGGCTCGTATGCCTGCACGGTACCCTAATTCCGTTCATTCCATTGCAGTGCGACTTGGGTTGCGACTTAATGACAAATGTGGGTCCTGAGGTTACACAGGTTGCAAACCACTGTTCTATAGCAAAGGATCTTGATGGGGTTATCATAAGTATTTTGACAATTGGCTTCAAGGTTTTTAAGCAAAGCACAAGAGCAGCCTCTAGTGGACAAAGAGCTAACTGCACACAACCATAAGCAACGATCACAAAGAAGCAATACACCTACCGTTCATGTATTTAGTTGCTGAATACATACAGATGTCTGCACCCAAGGCCAGGGGGCGCTGAAAGAAACAAAAGGACAACATTTTGACAATCATATGATGGTTATATAGAACATGAAATGTCAGTATTCGATCATAAGACTGGATACAGGTATTTACTCATGTTCTGTGAATCATCAACCAATTGAACCAATATCTAAATCATAATGCTGAGCACCTGAATGAGGTTAACTGAATAACATACTGCTAATGGAACTTGGACAGGTTTGATAACATTGTTGTTATTAAATGTTTTATGATTAAATTGATACTAGTTTGTTTTTTTTTTTAAAGAAAAATCAGTTTTCCTTACCTGGAAATATGCAGACATAAAAGTGTTGTCTACAGCCAGGAGGACATCTGGATGTTTGTGGACAACGTCGGCGCACCCTTGAATGTCGATCACAGTCAGCGTTGGGTTTGTGGGGGTTTCCAGCCACACGAGCTGAAAAATTTTAAATTGCCAAATAAACTATAAAATTATCCGCATACCTCCAATCTCAGCGACAGCTCGCGCCAATACAACCTAGTGAAAGCTGCAGGAACGATTAGATAGAACTCAGAGTAAAACCTATTTATCTGGTGATCTTCTGCCATGCTGGTACTAGTTGTGAGGTCGAAGCCATAGAAGACGCTCTTCTTGCTGATGTTAAGCAGGCAGTTCATTGGTACAGGTACATTTATTAAAAAAAAAAAAAAAGCGGAAATTCCACCAGTGTATGGGCACTTTTAGACATGTCTTGTAGCCGCCCCTCTCACCACTCATGTATGCAACTTTACACCATGCAGGGCCAGCATCAAAGTCATCAGCATGAGACAAGAACGCTGCTAACAAAGCCTGCATCCCTGATGAGCGAAGGACTCAGATGCCGGCTGTCAAGGAACTGTAGATTAGGGCATTACGGTCGTGTTAAAAGTAAAAATAATGAGAGGGAGAGGGAACACACTTATTACATCACATTGCCGGAGTTCTGATTTGATGTTCCCATTTATTTATTTTTTTTACATTGCACCGGCGTGTTTCATAGCACTTCACAGACTGAGAAAATCTCATACAACACCCAAGGATTAGCATGATGTAACAGCTAATAAAGTGTGAGAGCACCCACACCAGCATTGTATAATTTAGAGCACCATTACCCCATGTGTCATACTTGCCTTTGTTTCTGTTGTAATTGCAGCCTCCAGACACTTCAGGTCTGAGCAGTCAACAAATGCCACTTTCACACCCATTTCAGTCGCAATTCTTCTAAAGTATCGGTTTGTGCCTGTCAACAGTGCAGAGGAATTATCCTTAGTATTGAATCACAATGAACGCGTCTGCCCATTATAATAGCCTTCTATTAAAAACACTGTAGCATCACTGCACACAACCCTCGACAACTCTCATAAAAGGGAGAATTGTCCTACAGCCTGGCACACTACACCCAACCAAAGAGCACCATTCTTGCCTACTTAAATGGGAAGGTTACCCCAACATAATATTGTAGCTATAGGTGAAGACTGGTGGCCCAAATCAACCCCTGGCTTTCTATAGGTCTGGGATACTCAGGTGTGATTTCCACGTCATGGTTCCCGATTCTGTTTGTGTACCTGGGAGTATAGTGGGTAACCTCTGCATTTCAGATCCTTCTTTTCTATTCTCCATGGTATAAAAATGAACACATTTCAGCAGGGAAGGTGGGAGCTTCTCATACTGAGCAGAAGCAGAGACACCGGCACTCCAGATTAGCAAAAATACGTCTATTTATTGACGTGCATCATGGTAGCAAACAACGAACGTTTCGGGGGTCGCAAAGGATCCCCTTCATCAGGTAAAACATACAGCTTCTCATACTGGGCACAGCAGGTTTGCAGACCCAGGGACTCAAGCCAGAGATCTCACCAATAGAGTCCTCAAGAGATAGAAGAGAAGAAACTGTTCACCTTCCTTTACACAATGTTATTTAATTGGGCAGTTACGGCATGCAGAGTAGAATGAGGAGCACAGGGGGATATTTGTCAATTCTGTCTCAAAGCCAGGCGATGCTAAAAAGAAGCAGCAAGACTGACTACATCACTGATCTACTACAAGGTTACAGCTGAAGTCAAGACATTTCTCCCCCATCTGCTGTAAGGTAGTACTACACAAAGTCTAATGAGAGCATGAACAAAAGGTCCGATGAGTCCAAAATCTTTTAGACGTATTCCAGGAATTGTTTTATTATTATTAACCCTTGCAGTGGGCCTACCCCTGCACTGCAAGGGTTCAGTGCTCATTTGTGTCTAGGTGGTAACCACTGCAAGGGTTAATAAAAAATTCCTGGAGTTCTTTTTTAATATTATCAGTTCATTACACAAAACCATAAAACCACCAATGCATGTGCATATGAAATACTTTGTTATTTTTAGAATATAAGAATTCAAAAAAATTAAAGAAAAGCAGCATTGTAAAAAGGTGTTGGTGGAGAGGGTGTGCCTACATTCATAGGAAAACAGAAAATTAAAACATATGGTGGCACTTCCCTAAAGGGTGTAGAATGCTTCATCTGTTTATGTTTGTGATAGAAACGTGTAGGTTGATCCAGGGTAAAATATATATTAATCCTGGTGCTTCATGGCAGCACACAACAGGTGTGCTGCCATAAAGATGCACCAGGAAAGAAAGATTACCGAAAGTATACAATCTTCCGATTATATTATTGTTTACATTTTTTTTCCCCCAGACCCTACACCAAAATAAGCACTTAACCCTTGCAGTGCAGTGGTAGCCCCACTGCAAAGGGTGATTTTGTACATGTCTGGAGTTCTTTTTTAAAGGGAAGCAGCTGGATTTTGTGTCCCAACAGTGTTGAGCATTTGCTTTATAAAAGTCTGTATTTACCTCCATATACATCACTTGTACAGATGACCTGGTCTCCAGCTTTCAGTAGGTGAACAATGTTGAGAGTTGCAGCCAAACCAGAGGCATAGGCTAGACCTGACAAGAGAAAATAAGTTGTTAGAGGAAACACTTAAAAAAATAAAAATAAAAAAAAATAATAAATTATAAAAATAATAATCCTTTCTAGTACTCTAGGAAATTATTGATTATTGTTACAACTAATAAATGTTTCTTACAGTATTTGGCACCATCCAAGGCGGCGACAGCTTTTTCCAGGCAGTTCCTTGTAGGATTTCCGCTGCGGCTGTATTCATAGCCCTACATAGGTAGAGTGGAAACAAAACCTTCAGAACTCTCAGTGCACGACCTCAAAATATCAGACTGTTTAAAATAAATTGTAATCTAAGAACACATTTCACTATATACCAAACAACTTTGCATATACAACCTCTTCGCTCATCATGGGGCTTCCCATGATATAAAAAAAAAATAATAATAACAACAAAGTATATAGTATCATGTGTTCTAAGATTACAAACAAATTTGCAAATACAACTTCTTAGCTCATCATGGGGCAGTATGGAGCTTCCCATGATGAACAGTGAGATCAATGGGGGGAAAACTACTCCAAATCTGGATAACAGGGCTGAACCTCAGATACTCCTTCTCAGAGAGCTCAACAATGGCAGCATGTAGCTTGGGGGCAATTGCCAACTATGCAGTCCAGAATGTCCAGCTGGTTTAGTACTGGTTTAAGCTCAGAAGATGTGGATGTCTTCCCCCTCCTCCACATATCCTCCAGGCTCAGTATGAAGTCCCCCACTCTCCAGGAATGTAGCCTTACAAGTAATCATGTCGGTAGAACCCATTAGCTCTACATACTAGAGCTGCAGCTAACGATTATTTTCAAAATCGATTAGTTAGCCGATTATTAAGTTCGATTAATCGGTTAATCAAACAACTTGGCAGAAACAAACCTCTTGCCCTTTATTTTTGAGCTTAGAGAGCCTTCATTACAGGCTTGGACCAGCATATACATTGCTTTATTTACATCTAGCCTGTCTGCAGGCTAAAAATTGAATGTAAAGGAAGGCGTCTGCTCCACATACCTGAATGATTCAAGGTCTTCAGCGCCCGGAGCCATAACTGATATTTTAATTTTGCACTGCACTCATGTAAATCACAAAACGCAGAATGAAGGCAGCCCATAAATAAGTCTAAATAAGGCGTGCCTGTTGCCTCATTCCAGCAACAAACCGTAGAAGAGGAAAACATGAAGAGGGATCAGCGATACTTACTTGTTCTCAGACCTGGGTCAGCAGTCATGCGTTTTACTACACTATATTAAAACAATGCGGACAGGCCGAACGTGAACTATGCATGCCTTACTCCAGTCCAGGCCTGTTCACTCCCATACTTCATTTTTATCAGGTTTCAGTGTGTAAGGAGTGCTTATGTAGTCTGATCTCATTGCTCCCACCATAGTATAGCAGCACTCCCACCATAGTATAGCAGCAAAGGTTCCGCTCTCCAATTGGAGGAAATATTGCACTTTACATCAACTCAAAACAATGCACCTGCCCTACATGCAATGCAGTACCATTCATGGTGAATGGCACCCAATGCATTGTACAGTAGAGCCCAACACACCACAACGCACTAACCATGCATTGCAATGCTAAAAATGTGTGTTTGCGTTTTGTTTTAATTCATTGTGATAATAAGTGGGCTGCTTTAGTACAATGCACATTACCGCAGCCCAAGTAAAATGTGAGCAGCCTAAAAAAAAAGAATGTGGAAAACACACACACACACACACACACACACACACACACACAACTTAGATTTTAAATTTAAAAAAAGACACTCCCAGTCTATATAAAAAGGCAGCAGTTGAGTCCCAAACATTATTATTAACTTACTTTGCATAGTAGGAAGCAATGAAAATGCCACACACATAGCCATGTGCGCACAGGGTGTGTCCTAATCACTGAGCGCCTTGTTTTTAGTAACTGAGCCGGTGGAGAGATCACAAAGATCTCTCTGCGATTGGCTCAGTGATACACTGTGCAGCAGTACTTGCCACTTACATTTTTACCATAACAGCCGCAGTCCTCGGTGGCTGGAAAGCTGCAAGGGAGCGGGGGCTGTGGCTTCCCATACAATCAGGAAGCCGGCCAGATGGTCAGGTGACCACCTGCCAGGCTCCCTCCTTCATTACTGCACCCCTGCTGGTAGAGGTAAGGGACAGTTAAGAGATTGGAATTTAGGTATGTGTAATCTAATATCTATCTATCTATCTATCTATCTATCTATATATCAGGGGCGCAACTAGACATCACAGGGCCCCACAGCAAACTTTTGTATTGGGCCTGTAATTTCTAGTTACGCCCCTTGCAGAGCCCAGCTGAGAGAGTCCCTGCAGAGCCCACCATGGACTCTGTATGGTGGTACCAGGTGGGCTGGTCACACCCCTCTTACCCGTCAGCCCTGATCTGCCGTCAGCCTCCTCATCCTCCACGGTTGCTGGTGGGCCCCGCCTCCACCTCCGCTGCTGCTGACACCGGGCCCAACCTCCTCCGCCGCAGCTGCTGGCTGTCACTGACTCAGCAGCGGCTGCGAGGAGGAACGTGCCGCTGTCCAGATCACTGACAACCTGTCAGTGATCTGTGCAGTGGCACGTTCCTCCTCTCAGCCGTTACTGGCAGCCAGCGTTGCCATAGCAACCCACACGGCATCATCATTTATTCCTCGTCCTGGACGGGCCCCATAGCTATGGTGATCGTTGCACCACAAACGTGTGTGTGTTTGCACACCCTAATGCAATATGCTGCGCACACCTATGGCTACACATCTGTGACCATTCCAGTTTTATATTAAGCTTAGTAGAGTTCCATGATGGATAATTATTGAGCTCAATGTTTAACTTCCTCGCAGTTCAAGTCCGTCCACTTCCACCCACAATAATTACCTTATATTGCATAGTTGAGCAATAACATGTGATGAACAACAACCTTTGTATCCGGTCCATCAGTTCAGAGAATGACACGTCGCAATCTGGAATTTCATGTCAAAGAGGGACCAGGAGTGCTGGAGGACATGCTGGGGTTTGTAGTCATGCGACTACTGGGAATTATGCTTCAGAAAAAGATCTGGCACGGATGACAGCCGGGCCTTGTAATAAATACAATATATAGAACGCGGGCGTCACTTCACGGTTAATATCGGAACGTTTCACCCATTAGTTAAACTTTGACGTGTGAAAGCCTCGGGCAAATTTCCAAGGTTGGTGGAACGATCAAATAAAACTATTTATACCCGTCGTGTGTGCCCAACACCTGGGGTATAGACATCATTATAGAAGTAACTGGCGTGTTTATTTACCGATTCAAATTAAATAAAAAAATTGCACAAGCAAAAAAAAAAAAATATCCATCTATAATTTCTGCTACTACATGCCCTCAGTCTGATGGCCAGCATCGTTCATCCCACTTCCTCTGAGCCCAGGTCATCCTGGATCCATCCAAGCCTGTGATTTGATAGTGAAAGGAGAAGCAGCACCATGATGAGCCTATTTCTCACTCTGCTATCTCCTCCTATCAGCATGCTTCTTTTCAGTACATAAGCCGATAGGCTCCTTGTACTGCTTTTTTTCCCCCCTCACATGCCAGCTCTGCTTTACAGAGTCCTGCCTATTGTAATGAATGGTTGTAGGTGGCTGTACCCTGGTTTGTACAGCAACTTGCAAAAACCCATGCTTGCCCAAATGGGTTTCCACCTTGCCTATGTGCGTGTTTATGCAAGTAGTGGCTTAAAGAGGAACTCCAGGAACAGTCAAGTTTAACCCTTGCAGTGGGGCTACCCCCTTCACTGCAAGGGCTAACTGCTCGTTTTGATCTAGGGGCCGGAATAAAGCAGATATACTCACCCGATTCTCAGTCCTTTAGCCCTCACCTCTCTCCCCCTCCCAGGCTATGGAATGTTCCTCAATATCCTATCAGTAAACCCGAGGTATCCCCTGCACACCAAACAGCAATGGAGAGCGTTGGTGCTCGTAGTGATGTCCACGGATGGCGCATTGTTCAATCCTCAATGTCCTAGACGCAATGACGTCACGGGTCCCTGCGGCTGCAGGGACTGGTCAGGCAGCAAGGCGGGACAGAGACCAGATGAGTATCATTAGACCAAAATGTGCCGTCCTCCAGCGATGTCTGGTCCTGGCACCCGTCCCCGCTGCATCCCCCGCCGCCATCTCTGCTGCCTCTGCTACTGGGTGGCGCACAGGAGTTACATCTTCCTCCTCATCACCTGGCCCATTCCCGGTGTTCTATTGAATTCTCCAACTCATCGAGACCTCTAACTCCCGTCATTGCGCAGCCAAGAGGAGTATCAAGCTATTCCTTTTTATTGTAAAGCGCTGCGCAAACTGTTGGCGCTATATAAATCCTGTATAATAATACAATCCGCAGCAGTGCGCCTGCGTGGGCACCCAATGCCACAAGCGCCGACGGGAGTTGGAGAACTCGATTACCATTTCGAAGAACCACAGGCAAGTGGAGAGGTCAACAAGGATCGCAAAATCTAGTGCCACCCGTCGAAATCTACAAATGGACGTAACATCATAAGTTGTAGATCTCAACGAGTCGGCTACCTGGACAGAACACCGGCATCTCTACCCAATAGCGTACATTGCACGGCGGCGCACTCATTCCGACCTCCCAATTTTTAAGCCTTTAATTCCGCTGTAACATTACTGGAAATAAAGTTTGTGTCGTGGGAAGATCACATAGATAGAAATCTCTTCCAGGAACATCCAGTCTGGCCTGACGGGGGAGCCGGTCAGCCGGCAGTCACATCCAGCTATTGGAAAGTGCCGATTTCCAGTGACTAAGCGGATTGCAACCTCGTGTAATGTTACATCATACAGCTCCGTCTATACAAGAGAGTCACGTCACTGGCCATGCAGAGCCTGCTGGAAGGGGACAGTTCTCTATTGTGTTCTATAGAACAATGCACAATGAGCGACTGTCAGCAGGTGGGGGGTGACTGACAGCAGATGATGCTGCTGCTGCAGAAGCTCTTCATCGTCAGGTGTAACCAAAACACAGTGCCCTATAGACAGGCAGATGTCAGCATGGTCTATCACAGGGGTAGGCAAGCTCAGCACGCCAGCTGTTGTGGAACTACAAATCCCCACGAGGCACTGCAAGACTCTGGCAGCCACATGCATGACTGCCAGAGGCAGATGCATGATGGGATTTGTATTTTCATCACAGCTGGATGCCAAGGTTGCCTACCTCAGGTCTTTTCTCGCCAGATCCTCGGATTGTGGACTTTGCCACCGATGGACTTTGCCTCTGCCATGGTCGGAAAACTTGGCGACTGTTTTCTCCGGTTAATTCTGGAGAATTTCTGCAAGCTAAATTCACACCTATGCAGTTTTTAATGCATGTACACAGGACAGCCCGTGTTTTAAAGGGCACTAGCTTGCATCTGCGTGGTACGCAATGGCAAAAAAAAGTTCCTTTTTTTAATGCTGATGCATGTTAAAGCGCCTATGATGGACAATGTACATTACACACAATGTCACATGCGTTGAGGCTAATGCACCACAGCTCCCTAAAATCAGACAGGTCACCCCAACACACTCTGGTGCATCACTAGGAGTTGCAACACACATGCATTGGGGTGCCATTTAAATAATTGGCAGTGCAATTAATCAACACATCACACATGCATTGGCACACATTACATACATGGTCCTCTAACACATAGCTGTAAATTGTCCCTGAAATAAAACAGAGGGGCAGATCTGATTCTCGTGGTCACCCTAGAGTTAATCATGTACCACCCAGCTGTCAGAATCCATCTTTGATTGCCATCTGTCAGGAAGTGTGACGTTCCCATGTCACTGATCAGAGGGAGACAGTGATTGACAGCAGCAGGTCACATGAGTGAAGGTGGTGGACAGGGAGATCGGGGGCACCACCGCCATGGAGGTCCATTGCTCCGGCTCCTGCCCGCTGTGGATGGCCTCGGTGGCGAAGTGCTGGAAGGGCTCCAGGTAGCCCAGGGTCATACACATCTCCTTCTCCGGGTTCTCCATGCCGCCGATATGAATGCTGGATGATGCCGAGCCGTGCGCCTATATGAGCCGGGCTCCCACCCGGCTCAGCTCTGATTGGCTGTAGCTGGAGGCGGTGTCTGTGCAGAAAGATGAGTGGACAGCGCGGACTTGCCGGCCCCGCCCTCCGATGTGACGTCAACAAGCACGATACGATCAATTGTTACATTGTGGCGGAGGAGTTACACAATGTGTAACAGAGTCTACGGGAGGAAGGGAGAGTGTGACGTACGATGTTGACACATGATACCCTGTTTCCCCGAAAATAAGACCTACTCCGAAAGTAAGACCTAGCGCTATTTTTCAAGATTCCTGTAATATAAGACCTACCCCGAAAATAAGACCTAGTTTGGTGGTAGCATGTGAGTGGGGACTTGAAGAGCAGGAGAGATGGTATCAGCCTGCAGGGACATACTGTATTAAAGGAGAACTATGGGGTTAAAGTGACATTAAAGGCAAAAAAATTTTTCCCTCCCCCCCCCTATGTAAATGTTAGCACTTACCTTAAATAATGTCTCTTTTTCCGATCTTCCTCTTCTTTCCTCGTTGCCTGTGGCAACCAATCGGCTTCTGTCTTTAGTTTGTTCAGTTAAGGTTTGAACATGACAGAGAGAGGCTGATTGGTTGCCGTGCACAGCTGCTCCAGATTTTGTCTGCTCCAGTTTTGATAAATTTCCCTCAATTTATGTATAATGTATTCCTCCTATAGCTGGTGGTATTCTGCATTGCTGTATAATGTATTGCTGGGATTTATAGTCCTCTATAGCTGGTGGTATTATTCTACATTGTTGTTGTGCTGAGGTTTGTAGTCCCTCTACAGCTTGGAGTTAGTGGTGGTGAGTCACAGGACCCGCCCCCTCACTGTGAAGCCCGTCGGCAGTGCGGGGCCCCGGTGTTCGAACACCGGGACCCTGCACTGCCCCATATTGCAGGACCGGACCGCACTGAGACTGTGTGCGGCCCGGTAACATTTGATCCGCGGACCGGTACCGGACCGGGGGTTGGGGACCACTGCTCTACAGTGCCTGTTTAGAAGGCTGCGTCTGCCTGATCCAGCCAGCCCGAATCGCATACTAGCTGGATCAGGCAGACGCAGCCTTCTGAGAGAGAGAGATGCTGTTACAGGGCACAGAGGGAATGGAGAATGATATACAATATACTGTTACACAGGGACTACAGATGGAGGGACGCAATAGGATGTCACCAGCACACAATATAAGTGAAATCAACGAAAGTCCATTTATTAATAGAGTACTGTCATTCCATCCATTCACTAGAGACCGCTGACATCACTGTGAATGCAGCCTATCCATTCACTAGAGACCGGTGACATCACTGAGAATGCAGCCTATCCATTCACTAGAGACCGGTATCATCACTGAGAATGCAGCCTATCCATTCACTAGAGACCGGTGACATCACTGAGAATGCAGCCTATCCATTCACTAGAGAGCGATCACATCACCGAGAATGCAGCCTATCCATTTACCGAAGATTCAGATATGTTAAGATAAGTTCTATAGTCCCTTTCTCTGGGATAAAACGTCATCTTTTTTTTCTGAAATTGAGTAGTTGTGGACGTCAGTAGACATAATCTGGCCCCTTGTCTCATTCCCTTTAATTCACCCCACCGCTTTGAAAATTCTGACATCCCTAATTTAAAGGAGAACTCCAGGATTTTCAAAAGTTAACCCTTGCAGTGGGGCTACCCTCACCCTGCAAGGGTTAACACTCATTTTGGTCTTGGGGGCACAAAGAAAGAAAATATATTTAGATGATCCTTGCTGCTAGACTGGTCCCTGCAGCCTCTTGTCCCCCAGGCACTGACAGTTCAAGCCCCGCTGATGTCATAAAATCTATGCAAGGTCCATTCACTTGCATTAGACATGAGGACGGCAAAAGACATATCAGCCAGAGCGGAAGGGGAGAGAGGTGAGAGGTCACCACCGCAGGATCGAGGATTGGGAGAGTGTATCTTCTTTGTTCTGTTCCCTAGACCAAAACGAGCAGTAAACCCTTAACCAGTGACATCACTGAGAATGCAGCCTATCCAATCACTAAAGACCGGTGACATCATTGAGAATGCAGCCTATCCATTCACTAGAGACCGGTGACATAATTGAGAATGCATCCTATCCATTCACTAGAGACCGGTGACATCACTGAGAATGCAGCCTATCCATTCTCTAGAGACCGGTGACATCACTGAGAATGTAGCCTATCCATTCACTAGAGACCGGTGACATCACTGAGAATGCAGCCTATCCATTCACTAGAGACCGGTGACATCACTGAGAATGTAGCCTAGCCATTCACAGAGACCGGTGACATCACTGAGAATGCAGCCTATCCATTCTCTAGAGACCGGTGACATCACTGAGAATGCAGCCTATCCATTCACTATGAGCGATGACATCACCGAGAATGCAACCTATCCATTCACTAGAGAGCGATGACATCACCGAGAATGCAGCCTATCCATTCACTATGAGCGATGACATCACTGAGAATGCAGTCTATCCATTCTCTAGAGACCGGTGACTTCACCGAGAATGCAGTCTATCCATTCATTAGAGAGCGATGACATCACCGAGAATGCAGCCTATCAATTCACTATGAGCGATGACATCACCGAGAATGCAGCCTATCCATTCACTATGAGCGATGATATCACTGAGAATGCAGCCTATCCATTCACTAGAGAGCGATGACATCACTGAGAATGCAGCCTATCCATTTACTAGAGACCGGTGACATCACTAAGAATGCAGCCTATCCATTCACTAGAGACCGGTGACATCACTAAGAATGCAGCCTATCCATTCACTAGAGACCAGTGACATCACTAAGAACGCAGCCTATCCATTTACTAGAGACCGGTGACATCACGGAGAATGCAGCCTATCCATTCACTAGAGAGCGATGACATCACTGAGAATGCAGCCTATCCATACACTAGAGAGCGATGACATCACTGAGAATGCAGGATCAAGGACTGGGTGGGTACATCTTCTTTATTCTGCTCCCTATACCCAAACGAGCAGTTAACCTTTACAGTACGGGGATAGCCCCACTGCAAGGGTTAAAGGAGAACTATGAGGTGAGTGCTTTTCACTCACCTCATAGTTCTAGCCGACCAGTGACAATGACCCTGTCACAGGTCGGCTCAGTAGATCGGGAGGTGAGCGAACACATACCGGCGTTCGCTCACTTCTCGATCCTGTCACGGCTCTCTGCCGTGACTGGGGAGGGACTGGATTCCCCCCACCCCGCTACGATGCGCCAGCGCTGACTGGCGGAACGGACGGGGGAGGGGGCGGGTACAGCTGGCTCTGCCTCTAGAAAGGCAGAGCCAGCTGTCACTCACGCAGCTGGGCGGATCCAGACATAATTGTCGGGATCCGCTTCAGCGGCGGCGTCTCAGTATACCGCGAGCTATAGCTTGCGGTATACTGGGGCGTCTCAGTATACCGCGAGCTGTAGCTTGCGGTATACTGAGCTTAGGGAGACGGGAGGACGCTAGTTTGTGTCCTCACGGTACCCGAAGGAGAACTATGGGGAAAAGACCTAACCCCATAGTTCTCCTTTAACTTTTAAAAAACCTGGAGATTTGATTTAAGCCCTTTGGATCCACAAGTTGCCCGTGTTTCCTGTCTCAGGAAGCTGGGAAGTACAGGGTGTCGTAGGAAGAGTCTAAAACTTCTCCTCTCTAGACTTGTCATCTCATCATTATACAGGTTTTCTAACCAGTTATTACAACAAATCTGTTTTGGCTGTGGATATTATGTCCATGACCCTGCTCGCTCTGACTCATGAGACGCCAAGAGCGGTAATGCGTTGAGGCATTCCTGTTCTGTCAGTGCATCTTCTCATGTTCTGCGTCGTGGAAATAATCTGTAGAGCATCACTGCACAGATTCTGCCACCAACACAGCCTTTGGGTATTTGTCCTCGGGCATGGAGTGTCCATTCTTGTTAGTCCTGGAACACTGACGTGCCCAGAGTGTAAACAGGCTCAGCAGGGAAAAACAACAAGTGAGGAATTCGGTTGTGGCACGAGTTCAGGATGACATCAGGAAAAACAAGCCATCATGCTTTACCCTGAAATTCAAAAACAGCTGAATAAGTGAGGCATGGCTGTGCAGTGGAGGGTTTAAAAACAGGGGTGTCAAACTCAATTTAATCGTGGGCCGCAGCAACATTATTGTTGCCCTCAAAGGTATCTGTAAGACTATATAAAGACTATATAAATGTATCTAATCTTTATCATAATTGCCTCTGCACTCGATTATCACTGGTTTTAGTAATAACTTAAAACCTAGAGCCGAACGTAGAAGTCTAGGAAATGGCCTGGTGGGCCGTTTCAGCCCCTGGGCCTTGAGTTTGACTTATGTGGTTTAAATGCACCGATATTGTGATTGAATGGTGGCAGCCCACAGAAGGTGAGATCAGTGTAATGTGCAATAGACATGTGCACGGCAAAAAATTTGTTTTCCGATTAAATGAATGAAAATGAAAAACATTTCCATTTGTTTCATCAAAGAAAACACATGTTTCTGCTGCTTCGGATTTGGAGGCAACGAGCCTCTGAATCCAAAACTGCACACTGAAAATGCAGAAGGATCAGCGGCCATGTCGGCCACCGGCGCGTTCTGCACTTGTACACCGCCATCTTTGAGTGTATCTTGTTATATACCAAGATAGTGGCACCCGTATGTTCGGGCGCTGTCATCTTGGTGTATACTAGGGATGCACCGATACCAATATCGGTGCTGATGCCGAGTATTTGGGCGAACGTGCCCAAATGCTCCGATGCCTAGCCCAATACTTCCTGTATCAAGAAGCCGGGCAGTGCGTCAGTACACGCTGCCCAGCTTCCTGATTGTCCAGGAAGCTGGCTCCATGCTCCTTCGTCGCTTCCCTCCCTTCCCCGCCAATCAGGAAGCCGGGCAGCGTGTAATGATGCGACGCCTGGCTTCCTGATTGGCCGGGAAGCCGGATTTATGCTCCCTCGTCACCTTATGAGGAGGAAGCATGGAGCCGGCTTACCAGCCAATCAGGAAGCCAGGCGTCGCATCATTACACGGCACCTAGCTTCCTGATTGGCCAGAAAGCCGGCTCCATGCTTTTTTGTCACAGTGATGAGAAGCATGGGGACAGTTTCCCGGCTAATCAGGAAACCAGGTGGCGAGTCATTACACGCTGCCTGTCTTCCTCAATGGGACTTCCGGTACTCTGTATTCAGTATCGGCGGGTACCAGAAAAAAAAAATAACGGTACTCGATACCGAAATACCGGTATTGGTGCATCCCTAGTATATACCAAGATATACTCAAAAATGGCGGCGCGGCTGCGCAGAAAGTGTCGGCGGCCGATATGGCCACCGCTCGTTTAGCGTGTAACGTCACACTGAAAATGCAGAACGAGCGGCGGCCATGTCTGCCGCCGGCGCGTTCTGCGCTTTGGGCCGCCATCTCTGAGTGTATCTTGGTATACACCAAGATGGAGGCGCCTGAACATGTGGTATACTCAAGAAACATATAGTATACCCAAGAAATACTCAAAGATGGCGGCGCACTTACGCAGAACGCGCCGGTGGCAAGAATGGCCACGGAGCGTTTTGTAAACAAATGTATGTATGCCCGAATATAGTCTCAGTATATTTGGGCATATCATAAATTCGTTATTTCGGACTCGGACGAACCGCCGAAACAACTGAATTTCGTTGATTTGCAGGTTTGTTTGAATCCGAATGCACATGTCTAATACGCATGAACCATCATCCGGTCCTGGCATCTGGTGGTTCCAGGTGGTCATAGCCTTGATTTCAGAAAACCAATTGGATACAGTCCCACATATTGATCTCATACAAACGTTGTACAAGCCAGGACTTAGCTCTGGTATTGTTTGGGAGGGGGAACTGTACACTTTAAATAAGAGTTATTAGGGCCTGTTCACACGACGTCCGTTTTGTGTGCTGACCTGATCCGTACGCTCCTGCACTCAAAATGCATCCCAATGTATCCCTATGTGTTTTATGGGCTACAGTTCTCACGTGCGCAGTCCGTTCAGGTTAGGACAGAAAAATACTGCATGTCACATTTTGTACTGTCAGGAAACGCAAATGCGTCAAAAACGCATCAAAAACGCACTGCACTGCAGCTAACATACTAACAGCCCCCTGCCTCAGAGGCCGGTCCACTATCAGCCAGCCATAAACAAGCTCAGATCTGTGATCAGTCCGATTACGGACTATGGGCGGGCCATAAAATGCTCAGGTCTGCTATAGAGTGCCACTTGAGTGACAGCTCACAGTCTGCTGACATCACATCCAAGATGGCGGCACCCAGCAACAGTCTCAGGGCTTTTTGATGTCTACACAAGGGAAGCTTTACAAGTAAATAACATCAAAAAATACATTCAATGCTCATGTATATAATTCTTATGGGAAGCGATCTGTTGAAGTGAATGGTCTGATGACAGGGTCTCTTTAATGTGTTTTTCACTTGCTGTGCAAAACCCAAACGTTTAAATCATTCAAAAGCCTCAGAAAATTAAAATGTCATAGACTGTTGAATTGAATAATTCAGGGCTTCGTGTATAAATACTTCCACCCAGTGTAGATGAGCAGATGACGTTCGCACGGCGCTAGCACCCCTAGAGGGCGCTGGCGAGTATAGGAAATTCCTATGTACTATGAACAGCATCCATCTAGCTATGCGCTGGCTATACATTTTATAAATGAAGCCCTAAAGGCTGTGACACACTGCTCGCGAAGCAGCGTTGAGCGGTGGTGCCCCGCCTTTGAGTGCAGTGCGTCATGTCATTTTCTCTCCAGCATGTCAGCTTGCAAAAGCTCGCATTGCAGACCGTGCAGAGATGAAAAATGTCATCTTCAGCCAATCTGCTCGCATGTATAAACCCGCGCGTCACGATGCGATCTCCATCCGGTGGTGTTACGCGCGAGCCGATTGGCTGAAGGTGCAGTCTTTCATCTGCATGCAAAGCTCCCTGCCTGACAGCTTTGCTCCGCTCTGTACGGCTTTGCCACGGGCTTAAGGGCCGCTTCACACCACGAGGTTAGGCCTCTGGAACGGACTGGAACACAAGTTGGCCAGCTACCTGTGTTTAGGGGCGGGAGGGGGCGTGGCGTTGCATTGAAGTCAATGACGCCGCAGCCACACACCCTGCCCGCAGTGCGATCACCCGCACCCGGAACGCAGGCACATTAATGCCCGCGTTCCGGTCCAGTGCAACCTGCAAAAATAGTGCTTGCAGCAGATTGCACTGGACCGGAAAGCAGGCACTAATGCGTCGGCGTTCTGGGTGCGGGCGACTGCACAGCGGGCAGGGAGCGCGGCTGCGGTGCTATTGACTTCAATGCAACGCCACTTACTGTCATCATGTTTCCGGAGAGCTCCAACTCTCTCAGCTCCACTTCCCTGAACTTCCTGTCCAGTACAAGATCACAAGGGACAGAGCAGACTCCAGCAGCCGTCCATCTACTAGCTTGGAGAAGGAAGTAGGGATGATGGTGGAGCGGGGAGGAGTGGAGTGTCTTGCTGTGCTGTGTCTGTGTATTTGTGGGGACACACACAAGCTTACTAACACACACAAGGTTGGCTCCATAGGACCCTGCAAGGGAAAGGAGTCACCCTAATGCAGGATATCAGGACCAGTGCTCAGGGGATCAGTGTAGGAAACTGAAACATTTAAACATCAAGGAGCAGCATACATTTCATCAGCATTTGAAACAACCTAAAAACTATTTGGCTTGAATATCACTAATTCCACCTTTCAGATCATGTTTTGTGTTATACCCCTATGTAGGGTATAACATAGATCATGGTCACATCCCCAGCCCCAAATACCCTCTCCCCCCTTGACTGTATCATGGGGTTCTCCTCCCCCGGCATCTTGTCTATATTTGAATTAGGCGTGGCCATCTGTGGCTCCGCCCACACGGGTGCTTCATTAATTTACAGATGGTAGGTCTGTGCTTTTGTACGGACCTGGGGCTGGGGGAATAGTCTGCAGGAATCTATGCATTGCACCCACCCATCCACGGATCACAGTTGCATTGCAGGATGCAAAATGCACATTTTTTATTTTATTAGTGTGGGTGTTTTTTTTTTGCAAAAAGGTGGACTGTGCCTTTAATATTTTTACATACACACATTATTTTTTCCTTTACACTCTCGCTTAATATAAAAAGAGTCCAGCATTTAGAACATTACATCCTTGCAATGCTGACTGACAGGTTGACTTGGTGGCTTTTTTTTACTTAATAAAAATGTGGTTCCCCTTTAAGAAGCGAGCCCCGCCCACCACGCAGCTTACGCTTGTAATAGGTTGGACAGCAAGCCCCGCCCTGCTGTTTGTGTACTTTATTGAATTGACCAATCACGTGTTTCCCGTGTGCGCCAAGTTTTACTCTCAGCTGACGTCACCGCATGCGCGCGCGTGCTTCTGTCAGCGAGTCCGTCTCCGCGGCTCCGCCCACTTTCCACTCAAGTATCGCGACCTGTCGGACAGCTCTCGCGAGATCTGCGCGATAAGATGGCCGCGGGAGGTCCGCCGCTGTTCCAGTGAGGAGGGGGAAGCGGTGCCCCGGGTGTGAGCCGCTCCAATGACCGGGGAGAAGCTCCGTCCCCTGCGCCGGGACCACAAGCAGTGCAAGGAGGACGAGCTGCTGGAGACCGACGAGGAGAGCGGAGGAGAAGGCGGAAGGAACAAGAATGGCAAAAGCTTCTCCAACCACCGGCTCATCCCGTCCAACCCGGCCCTCAGCAACGCCTGCTACCCCGTACACGAGTGTGTGTTCCGAGGTGACATCCGCCGACTGTCCTCCCTCATCCGCAGC